TGTGTGTGCGTGCGTGTGTGTGCGTGTGTGTGTGTGTGTGCGTGCGTGTGTGCGTGCGTGCGTGTGTGCGTGTGTGCGTGCGTGTGTGCGTGCGTGTGTGCGTGCGTGTGCGTGCCTGTGCGTGCGTGTGTGTGTGTGTGTGTGTGCGTGCCTGTGTGTGCGTGTGTGTGTGTGGTATGTGTATGTGTGTTGTGTGTGTGTGTGTGTGTTGTGTGTGTGTGTTTGTTGTGTGTTTGTTTGTGTGTTTTTTCCTACAGCAGCCCATCCTGGTCTGTGATTACACTTACGACATACTTTCAAGCACGATCCGTCCAGGTGCAAGTTGCCCTGCAGGCTTGGGCTAGAGTGGTGTTCGGGTCCAACGCCCACGAGGTCGCATTCTCGAGACCAAGCCCTGCTGGGGCATTGACGTCAAACTCAACCTTGACGTCCAGCCCCGCCTGAAGATGAGTCCAATCCGCATTCTTGAGAGCATCGATACCTTCAAAGCTGAAATGCTCAGCTCGCTCGGCCGCCGAAAGGACGCATTCGAACAGTCTGTGATACATGCTGTCATGCTCGTGCCCGCACGGGCATTTGCAGTCCACCTCATGACCCGCCTCTCGAAGACCAACTTTGGTCCATATATTCCGGGAGAGGAAGGCGAGGAGGATACCACGCTCCCGGGGGGTAAGAGAAGGGGAGTTGAGGACGCTGAGGGCAGCAGAAACGCAGACCTGATCCCCCACCCACCCCAGTCGCTCGCTCGCTTGCTCCACCAGCCTGTCCCGCCATGACTTCTGCAGCGCGGCGAGAGGAAGGCGGGCGAGACCAAGGTGAGGGGGAAGAGTGAGCCATCCCTGTCCGAAAACTCGAACGCACTGGCGTCCTTCCAAACAAGTCTGCTGAGCGAGAGAAGGCACGCTCCGAAGGGGCCGCTGGAGTCCAACCCCGCCTCTTGGGGGGAGCAGCCAAAATGGGGGGAACTAAATCCCTGAGTTCGGGCAGGGGGATTCCTCCGTCTCGCGCAGTGGCAGCTCTCCACGCGATATTGGCCCAAGTGAAACACTGCCCAACTCCCACCCTCCATGTGGGATCATTGAGGAGGAGGAGGAGGAGGAGGAGGAGGAGGAGGAGGCTGATGGAGCGAGATCTAGTGGAGCATCGCGGGCCCACGGCCTTTATTAACGTGGAGTGGATGTCCCTCACTTCATTTTCATCCGCTCCTAAAACCTCCGTGCCGTAGTGCCCTGCCTGCTGGAGTCCTCCTGCATACAGCTTGCTGATGTTGGATCCCCCTGCTCTGACCGACGCGAGTCTACCTAGTCTCTCGTGAAGGTTTTTGTGCCGTTCCATGGCCTTGGGCCGGTGTGTTTTCACATTGCGCTTCTGGCCAAGAAAATAATCGATGCCAAGATTTGGAGCTGAAGCTCCCGGCTGGCCTCCGTGGGGCCCCAAGGCTTTAGCTAGCTTCTGCTTCAACGTGTCCGACGACGCCAGGACGACAGACTTGTTGTCGGCGATGCTACATTGCAACTTGTCGACAATCAGACCCCCTAGATCTTGGGCGGCGTCCGTCGTAGCATGCAGGACCGTGAAGATAGACTGGCTCTGGCACTGCTGAAGGACATCGCCGATGAAGACGATTAGATTGACGTCTTTATGCCTGGACTGCCAAGCCGAAAGGTCGTCAATACAATATACTTGGATGAGAAACTCAGCAAAACTGTCCCCAGCAGGCAGTTCCCTTGTGGCATACCCTGCGTGAGCGACAAGCGTAGCATACGAGACCAGGCGCTGGGACTTGTAGAGGATGCAGAGGAGGAGGAGGAGGAGGAGGAGGAGGAGGAGGAGGAGGAGGAGGAGGAGGGGAGGACGAGGTGAGGAGGATGAGTAGGATTGATGAGGAGGTTGGAGGGGGGGGAGGATGGGGATGTAGGAGGAGGAGGAAGAGGAGGACGAGGAGGAGGAGGAGGAGGAGGAGGAGGAGGACGAGGACGAGGAGGAAAAGGGGGAGGTGGAGGGGGAGGAGGGGGAGACGGAGGAGGCGGAGGAGGAGGAGGAGGCGGAGGAGGAGGAGGAAGAGCCAAGGCCCCAGGAGCCCCGACCCCAGCAGACCTGGTTGCCCACAGGGCGCGACGAGATGAACGAATTGCAGCTCGAATGGACGCCCGCCAAGCTACCGCCCACCAGGTGGTTCCAAGGCGAGGCTCCTCTTTCTGTACTATATGCCTGACGGCACCGACCCGCCAGCTTCCCACCAACGAGTGGCTAGCTGCCCCGTGTCGAGGCCTTCCCCATCAGATTCACAGCTCGCACAGAATTCGGTGCCTGCGCGGGCTGTGGTGGTGTGAGGTGTGTGGTGGTTCGGGGCACACCCGCTTCAACATTCTGGGGTAGGCCTGCCAGCGCCCGACTGGAGCTGACAAGAAAGCTTGGGATAAGCTCGCCAGAGGACTACTCCCACCCAATCGGGATGCCTGGCCAGACGAGTCTAGGCCCAGTCCAGAGTGAGCTATCCTGCCCCTTTTCCCTCTTTAAGGGCCCTGGCATCGGTACCAGACTCAGGCCCTCGTGTAGTCGTTCCAGGAGGAGGAGGAAGAGGAGGAGGAGGGGAGGGGGAGGAGGAGGAGGAGGAGGAGGGGGGGAAGGAGAGGAGGAGGAGGAGAGGAGGAGGAGGAGGAGGAGGAGAAGGAGGAGGAGGCTGCTCTGCGAGCGGCTCGTGCACCGTGGCCCCGCACGGCAACGTGCTGACGCGAGTTGTACTGCCGCACGGCCTGTCGCCCGCCGTGCCGGCCGGGTATACTCCCTCCCCTCCCGCCCTCTCCCATCTCTTTTTCCTCGTTGACACCCGCCTCGCCCCCTGCCCTCCCGTTCCTCCTCCACCTCCTCCTCTTCCTCCTCCTCCTCCTCCTCATCCTCTTCCTCCTCCTCCTCCTTCCTCCTCCTCCTAGCTCCCCCTCCTCCTCCTCCTCCTCCTCCTCCTCCTCCTCTTCCTCCTCCTCCTCCTCCTCCTCCCCTCCTCTTCCTCCTCCTCCTGCCTCCTCCTCCTCCTCTTCCTCCTCGTCCTCCCTCTCCTCATCCTCCTCCTCTCCTCCTCCTCCCCTGGCCCCCTCCTCCTTGGTCCCTCCTCCTCCTCCTTCCTCGTCCTCCTCCTCCGCCCTCCCCTTCCTGCGCCTCCTCCTCCTCCTCCTCCTCCTCCTCCTCCTCCTCCTCTCCTCCTTGTTCTCCTCTCTAGGCTTCTTATCTCTCTTTTTTCCTCCTCTCTCGCCCGAACCGCCTGTCTCTCTCCTCCCCTCGCTCCTACTCCTCCTCCTCCTCCTCCTCCTCCTCCTCCTCCTCCTCCTCTCCTCCTCCTTCCTCCTCCTCCCCTGCCCGTAGCCAGCACTATGCGTCGCCCTCCTCTGCCTTTGCGTTTTCGTTCCTCCCTCCTCCTCCTCCTTCCTTCTCCTTCTCCTCCTCTCATCCCTCTCCTCCTCCTCCTCCTCCCTCTCCTCCTCCTTCTTCCCTCCCTCCTCCTCCTCTTCCTCCTCGTCCTCTCGTCCTCCTCCTCCTCCTCCTCCTCCCCTCCTCCCTCCTCCTCCGTCTCCTCCTCCTCCCTCTCCTCCCTCTCCTCCTCTCCTCCTCCTCCTCCTCCTCCTCCTCCTCCTCCTTCTCCTCTTCCTCCTCCTCCTCCTCCTCCTCCTCCTCCTCCTCCTCCTCCTCCTCCTCCTCCTCCTCCTCCACCTCCTCCTCCTCCTCCCCCTCCCCCTCCCCCTCCCCCTCCCTCTCCCCCTCCCCCGCTCCCCCCCCATAGCTACCCCATTCCGCGCCCGTCCTCCGCTACTCCAGGCGCATCGGCAGAGGACCGGCACCGCTCGGAGGCCCTTGCTCGGCCGCTCTCGCTGACGCCGCAGTCGAGCAATGGCGGGAGGGTGGGAGGGAAAGAGGAAAGAGGAATAATGGATGGATTGGGGATGCTGATGGGGATTTGAATGAAAGAGCGGTGAAACTGAACCCTCATGCGTCCATACCTCTGCCCCCCCGTATGTTCCGTACCTCTCGCCCCTTGATTTCAGATTCGGATTGCCAGGGACGAGGAAACCACATTGTAGTCCATTTTCCGCTGCAAGCTCTTTGATTTTGGCCCAGCTATTATGTATGAGGTGCCTGCATTTCTTTGCTCTTCGTGTAATGTCAGCTTGTGATCAACAAATGACCGGACCCCCCCACCCGGGGCTGATGAATAGACCCCGCAGGGCGCTAAATTTTCAAAAAATACCACGCGCGCCAGGGGGTCGTCGCTGGCGCCACCGAGGGGATCGTGTACCCCTTCATGACAGCCTCAAAACGCCTGCCTTTTGTACAGAAGTTGTTGTAGGGGTCGTACACATCCGAGGCGATTGTTTTCCCCCTGTCAGGCGTCGTCGCCGCCATCGCCGCCGTCGTCGTCGTCTTCTTCGTCGTCCTTGTCGTCGTCGTCGTCGTCGTCGTCGACGACTACAGCGGGCCTGCACCCCCCCCATAGGTGCCTCGTCGTCGTCGCTCGCCGTCTGCCGTCCGCCGTCCATCGTCCTCGTCTTCGTCCCATCGTCGTCGTCGTTGTCGTCGTCGTCTTCGACGACTACAGAGACCACGACAGAGGGGGGACCTTGCTCGGGTCGGACGAAAGGCTGGAGAAGGAAAAGGGCGGTTGCGAAACCTGCTGCGCGCTGCTGGTTTCGGTTGCCCCGCCGATGGGCCAGTCCTCGATGCATGGCCGCTTTCGGCGCCAGGAGGCGCTCGGAAAATCAGCAACTTGAGCTGCTGGGCGAATCCCCTCTTGGCCACGCCCCGTTCGTCCAGCCCGCCTTGTTCGCGGGCCTGCGATGCAGCTGGCGCCCCCCTGGCCGCGGCCAGGGCGAAGGAAGCGCATCGGTTCGACAGAGAGGGACACGGAAAGTGCGGGGGCGAGCGCCGGCAGCAGTTCTTCTTCATTTCAAACAGGTGTCGCTTTGACCCAAGGCCCCTGCTTCTCCCGCCTTTGCCTCCCGCCCCCCGCCCCTCGCCCAGTCTGTGCTGTCTGTCTCCTTCTCGTTGGCGGTCGGGCGTCGGGCTAATCACCAGCGCCGCCCCGTTGATTTTCAATGTGGCGGGCGGCGACCCGCAATCCGCCCGAGCAGGGTTTTTTTTTGTCCAACGCGCGCCCCCCACGGATTCGTTAATCACAAGCTGACATTCGGCAGGCGGGTTACTCTGATCAGGGTGGTGTCGCAGTACGCGTCTGGGCGACAACCAAAACAGCTTTTTCAGATTTCATGCATTTCGTCTCCTACGCGTTGTGGATCCATCTTGGGCCGATTGTTGGAGCCTTCGGGGCTCTAGACTTGTGGCGATTTGCTTAAGCATCGGCTGAATAAGAAACGGTGCCGGTGAACAGTGCTTCGAGAGCTAATTTGGGAGTTCTGCTTGAACGATTTTTGGCCGCTCTCGGGGCCGCATTGGGTTTGTGTGCTGCCTTTCGTGGGGCTTTCGTGGGCGATGTTGGGGCCGCTCGAAGCGTCTGAAGCCCACAGGAGGCGAACAAGTGAGAAGGCCGAAACCATTTACGCACCGCTTTGGTTTGAGTGAATTTGGTGTCTGAGGGTTTGTTGAGTGCGTCCCGTGGCCATTTGGAACATTTTTGTGGGCATGCTAGAGGCCATCGTGAGCCAAGTTGGAACATGTTGAGTCCGATTGGAGTCCATTTGGGGCAATTTGGGGTCCACTTGGAGCCACCCAGCACCCCTCCCCAAGAATGCTAAGCATCGATCAAACACGTTGGGCGTTTCACTTGTTGCATTTTCGTTGCGTCATATTCGTTCATGTTTATGTATGTATGTATATATGTGTGTATGGACAGCCCCCCCATGCATGTTGGCCTCTCGCAGGTGCTTTCGGCTCCGTGGCCCCGCTTTCGGGTGGTATGAAAGTGTATCACGCAGGCATGTTAAAAAAAGGACATATTGAGTCACCTTGGGCTATCTTGAACAGTATTGGAGGCTATCTTGGGCTATTTGGGACCCGCTTGGAGCCATCCTGAGACATTTTGGACGCTCCAACCCCTCGCCCCCCCCCCGTGTCCAGACCCGGGGAAGGGGTGGGATGAGGTTAGGGGATTATCCCAGTGCGACCCGACCTAGGAGTTGGAGCATGTAGGAAAGCAACATCTACATCTACACCGACAGCTACATTTACATATACACCTGCATCTACATCAACAGCGAGACTCACATCTACATCTACATCTACATGTACGCCTACACCTACACCTACACCTACACCTACATCTACATCTACATCTACATCTAGATCTACATCCACATCTTCACCTACACCTACATTTACATCTACATCTACACTTCCGCATTGGTTGTGCTTTTGATGTGCATTGCCTTTGCGTTTGCTCTTGCCTTTGCTGTTGCCTTTCCCTTTGCTTTTACGTTTGCTGTTGAGTTTGTTGTTGCTTACGCGAATGTGTTTGTTTGTGCGTATGCTATGCTATGCTGAGCTATGCTATGCTATGCCATGGTATGCTTGGCTATGCTATGCTATGCTGTGCTAATGCTGCGCTAAGCTAAGGTAAGCTAAGCTATGTTGAGCTAAACCAAGCTAAGCTAAGCACAGCTAGTGTAGGCTAAAGCTAAGCTAAGCTAGGCTAAGCCAAGCCAAGCCAAGCCAAGCTAACTAAGCTAAGCTAAGCTAAGATGAGAAAAGCTAAGCTAAGCGAAACTAAGCTAGGCTAGGCTAGGCTAGGCAATGCTACGCTAAGCAAAGCTAAGCTAAGATGAGATCAGCAAAGCTATACTAAGCTAAGCTAAGCTTGCCTATGCTAGGCTGGGTGAACCCAGGGGGCGCAACTGGGGGAACCGCGGGGCGGTTCCTGGGGGAACCGCCCGGGGCGAGCCCCACTGCCTGGCCCCTTTAAGCTCAGAGAGTAAGAACCCTTCTAGGCAGAGCCTAGGTCGGGAAAGAAGGAAGCTAGAGAAACACATTTGCTAAGCCACATACGCCCAGAGGGCTGGTGGGATGGCGGGCCCAACAATCAAATGCTGGCGTGTCAGGCAAGCGCATGATACAGCCACCCCAGCTGAACATTCGCAAGCTCCACATTGCTTATCGTACTGTTGTCGAGATCGTTTCATGTGATGACCGAGCATGGCCGCCGATCGATACTTTGAGCCCAGTCGTGATCCTTTACGTGCATATCCTCCAGGTCTTCTTTGCCCCAGCGCCTTTCGTAGTTCCATTCGACGATCCCCCCAATCACTTCGCCCGAGAGAATCCTTGGTTTCACCCTCATGCCGTCTCTTGGCGGCACTGGCAGCCACTGGCCACCGGCAGAGCGTAGTCCTGGGGAGCGCGAAGCTGAACCTCACTACGGTAGGTTTGCGTCGTGTCGACCAGCGGCGACCCCAGCGCGGACGTTCAAGGTTGAACGCCGCCGGCGACCCAGAATCGATCGATGCTGAACGATCGGACGTTGCGGCAGCGGCCGATCGTTCAAGGTCGAACGATCCCTGCGGTGTCAAAAACCAAGGCTGGCGTCGGCACGACACGGACCTGCCGTACGGGGGCTGGACGTCCGAACGACGGCGAGCTTCGTGCATTCAGCACCGCGTCGGGCCAGGGCCACCCCCGGGCCCCCGGGGCGGTGTATAGGGCCCTCCTGGCCTCGGCCAGGAGGGCGCAGGCGCCGTGCCCCCCGGTCGCAGGCGCAGGGCGCGCCCCCTGCGGTGTCAAAAACCAACGCCGGGGTCGGCACGACACGGACCTGCCGCAGCACGGTCGCGAAGCTGCGCACGAAGCCTCGCTTCCGGCGCCAGGACCGACGCGGCGGCGCCTGTCTGCGCAGCGCCATTTTTGCACCCCAGATTTCGTAATAAAGGGAGGGGGGTCTCCTCCTCCTCCTCCTCCTCCTCCTCCTTCTCCTCCTCCTCCTCCTCCTCCTCCTGCCGTGGGGCATCAGGAGGCGTATGTCAGAGGAGGGGAGGAGTGGACACAGGAAGGGGAGGAGTAGAGGATGGGCGCAAGTAGGGGTACTCCAGATTTCGTAATAAAGGGAGGGGGGTCTCATTTCGGCGGGGGGGTCTCTTCCGGGCTATCTTGGAGGGCCTGGGGGGGTCTGGGGACGATGTTTTGGAGGGTTCTCCCACGGGGGGGGGTCTGAAATGGCCTGTCTTGGAGGGTCCAGACCCCTTCCTTTTTATTACGAAATCTGGAGTACCACTCCGGTGAACTCGCACAGGCCCAACAAACATGAAGTTTCGCCCAATTGTTGAGGACGCCCCACGCTGATCCATGGCGTTGGCCGTCTACTTGTCTTCGCTCAGCCCATCGATTTCGTTCATTATTGATCCCACATCGGTTTTGTTGGGCTGGACCATTGCTTTCAGTTTTTCTTCCTGCCCCTGGAGAAGATCGTCACATGCCGCTCTTTCCCAGGTGTGAAATTCTGCCATTCCGGAGCCGCTGTGCTTCACTGCTTTGACAATTACCTCGAAACCAACATGGTCGACCCTTCCCTCCGATTCTCCTCATCCTCCGCCTCCTCCCCCTCCTGCTCCCTCTCCCGATCTCCCTTCCCCCCACCTTCCCCCTTCTTCTGCTCCCCTCCACTCCTCTTTCGGCCTCCCCTACCCCCCTCTGGGGCTTCGGCCAAAGGCTTTGACCCGAGCCCCGCAGCCAGCCAGTTGTTCGAGGTATGTTCTATATGACGTCGTCATGGAGCTATCCTATCCTATCCTATCCTATCCTATCCTATCCTCGGCTACCTCCTGTCTGCACCCCCCCCCGTTTCAGCCGGCGCCCCTGGCGCGGCCACTTCAAGGGGCTGGCGCTGGCGCTGGCGTCTGGTCAGGCGCCTCGAGCGGGGAGCCCGGAAGGTTGGATGAGGGAGAGAACGAAGGGGAATGTTAGATAGTAAGTCGCGGAAGCTTCCGCTCGTCTAGCATTGCGTGTATAGCGCCCGATAGTGCGCGCGCCGCACCCAACAGTTCCCAATAGCGCTCAGTAGCGCCGAATGGCGCCGTGCTTGGGAGACTTGTTGCGTCCCGTTTGCGCGCTGATAGGTGCTGCTGGACGACCACAAGCTTCCGCGAGTTGCTTTCTAAGGACTGGAGCCTGGCGCACTGTTTTGAATAGAGCACTGTAGGACGAGGACGAGGACGAGGAGGAGGAGCAGGAGAAATAATTTGGAATTCGAGGAGGAGGAGGAGGAAGAAGAGGGAGGGGGGAGGAGGAAGAGGGAGTGGGAGGGAATGTGAGGGGGAAGGCGAGGGAGTGTGATGGGAGGTGGGATGATGATGAGGTGGCCAAGGACGAGGAGCACCCACAGGGATGGACGACGAGGGGCCCAGGGCAGCGTGGGGGGCGCCCCCCCCCCCCCCCTTGCAGCTCCTGCGCGGAGGCAGCGGGCTGGTCGCCGGGCCGCAGCCTGGGGGGCAGCATCCGGCGGCGCAGGCTGCGGCGCGCTTGCCCGGCGTGGACGAGGAGGACAGGTTGAGGGAGAGTCGGGCGGGGCCAGGACGAGGACAAGTCCGTTCCAGAGCGTTCCAGGAAGGTCTCAGAGCGCGCCAGAGCGCTCTGAGAAGGCCGCGGCGCCCGAGACCTCCTCCGGAGCCGCCGGAGCTCAGAGATTCTCGATCCATCCTCACCCCCGATTTTGTCCTCGTCCTGGCTTCGTCTCACAGTAGGAGGGGAAGAGTTCAGTATCGTTTCACCGAGCCCCATCTCCATCCTCATCCCCTTCGAGGCCACTACCACATTACCACCCCAGTTGGAGGTACACCCCTCCAAGCCCGAAGATAACGGCCTACATCCCCATCGAGGGGGGTCACTCGGCCAGTGGGGCCCCGGCCACGCTATCCGGGTGGGGGGTCGGCTAAGCGATGCTCCGAAGTCGAGGAGGGCCAGTGGAGACGACGGCAGTTGCCCTGCGCGGCGAGGCCCCCCGTCGCCACTGCTGGGCACGCGGCTCGGGGAGCCGGTCTGGGCCCCGGGAGGGGGTCGGGGGGGGGCGATGTTGAGCTGCCGTTGTCTCGGTCTGCTTGCTGCGAGAGCGGTATCGGAGCCACGAGGCAACAGAGGAGGGGGAGGAGGGGCAGGAAGGGGAGGAGGAGGGGAGGAGGAGGAGGAGGAGAGGAGGAGGAGGAGGAGGAGGAGGAGGGGAGGAGGGAGGAGAGAAGAGGAGGGGAGGAGGAGGAGGAGGAGGAGGAGGGAGGAGGAGGAGGAGGAGGAGGGAGGAGGGAGGAGGGAGGAGGAGGGGAGGAGGGAGGAGGGAGGAGGGAGGAGGAGGGGGGGGGGAGGAGGAGGAGGAGGAGGAGGAGGAGGAGGAGGAGGAGGAGGAGGAGGAGGAGGAGGAGGAGGAGGAGGAGGAGGAGGGAGGAGGAGGAGGGAGGAGGAGGAGGAGGGAGGAGGGAGGAGGGAGGAGGGAGGAGGGGAGGAGGGAGGAGGGAGGAGGGAGGAGGGAGGAGGGAGAGGAGGGAGGAGGAGGAGGAGGGAGGAGGGAGGAGGGAGGAGAGGAGGAGGAGGAGGAGGGAGGAGGGAGGAGGAGGAGGAGGAGGAGGAGGAGGAGGAGGAGGAGGAGGGAGGAGGGAGGAGGAGGAGGAGGAGGGAGGAGGGAGGGAGGAGGAGGGAGGAGGGCGGAAGGAGGAGGGAGGAGGAGGAGGGGGAGGGAGGAGGGAGGAAGGAGGGAGGAGGAGGAGGAGGAGGGAGGAGGGAGGAGGGAGGAGGGAGGAGGGGAGGAGGGAGGAGGGAGGAGGGAGGAGGAGGAGGAGGGGGAGGAGGAGGCAGGGGGGAGGAGAGGGAGCAGAAATATCTTGGCGAACTGCCCAACCATCTACAGTTGTGCGTACCGCGTTGTGGCACCGCTGTCAGTGGAGCTCCCTATAGGACCACGGAACGTGTGCAGGGTGTACCGAAATTGGCAGGACACCGAATGCAAACCCTGCCACTGAGGCATTCGGTGGAGATCCCAATGGGTCCACGGAGCGTGTGAGCGGTTGTTGTCGGAATGGGCGGGGAACCGCATGCGAACCTTGCAATTGAGGCCTTCGGTGGAGCTCCCTATTGGACCACGCAACGTGGGAGGGATGTGGCGAAGTGGGCGGGGAACCGCATGCGAACCCTGTCATTGGGGCATTCGATGTAGCTTCCTATGGGGCCACGAAGCGTGTGAGGGGTGTGGCGAAAGAACCGCATCCGAACCCTGCCATTGAAGCCTTCGGTACAGCTCGCTATGGGGCCACGCAACGTGTGAGGGGCTGCCGTCGAAATGGGCGAGGAACCGCTGTCCGTCTCTGCCCCTGAGGCCCGAGGCCTCCGGTGGAGCTCCCTACGGGGCCACAAAGCGTGTGAGGGGTGCGGCGAAAGAACCGAATCCGAATTCTGCTGCTGGGGCCTTCACAGAGCGTGTGAGGGATGTGGCGAAATGGGCGGGTAACCGCATGCGACCTTTGCCATTGGGGCCTTCGGTGGAGCTTCATGTTGGGCCAAGGGACGTGCGAGTGGGCGAGGAACCGCATGCGCACCCTGCCACTGAGGCCTTCGGTGGAGCTCACCATGGGGCCAGAGGCAAGGATGGGAGGACAGAGAAGGAGGAGGAGGGGAGGAGGAAGCAGACGCGTGGCGCTGTCTCTTCAAAAGAGGACCCGATACCGCAGCATGACTGGGGAACAGACTGAGGAGGGGGTAAGGTAGGGGCGCTCGAGGGTGAGTCCAGCGTCGGACAAGCCAACCTGAGACACTTGCCCTCTCCCACGCATAGTCTACGTACCGTGGCATACGGCACTGCCGCCGAGACCCGTCTGGACCCCCCCCCGCGGGCCAGCAACGAGTAGCCGCACATGGGTATGGTTGATGGCTCAGGCCGCCCGAGCTTGTCCCTGCCGCACATGTAGCAGCGCTCGTTCTGCTGAAAGTTTGTGCGAAACCCGCACTGGCGGCTAGCAGCACAAGCCCATGTGCCAGCAGGCGCGCCAGGGCCCGTTGTGCCACGGCCCTCCTGGGGACCACGGCTGCGGCCGCGCCAGTGTGAGAGTGTGGTCGTTTGGGTTTGAATTTCCCACGCAGACGCTGGTAGCAGGGCTTGCTTCGAGCTCGAAGTTGCAGTCATAGTTTCTATACTATGTATGATGCTGACTCGTCCTTCCAGTGGCCGCTTTTGCGTGGCAAGGGTGCATCTGCGGGTTGTTTCACGGCGGAGGTAGTCGAGCCTTATTTGTATTATGTGGGGGCGAATCGTTTGCGGGCATGATGTGTGGACCTTTGCATGTCACGCCATAGTCATAGAGCTGTCAGCATGCATAGTGCACGTTCCAGCAATAGCGGGCTCATCGATTTGGTTGCTCGTCAGTGTCGATAGGCATTGTGTGTTGCGCCGCGATGTGGCGCAACACACAACTTTTCAGTCCTACTTTCCTGAAGAGTTGCCAATCGCGCACTCTTCTGCCCACGCGTCCCTCTGGACGCTCGGCTCAGTGGTGGTGGTGCTGCGCCGCTTTGTGGCGCGCTGCTTTATTTTTGGACTGGCATCCCCGGTCCCTTCGTTCTCCCAGGGGTCGTTTAGGTTGTCTGGGCATGGACTCCTTCCCCGCTCGAGGTTTCCCCCCCGCCCCTCCCGATGCCGCTGCTGCTGCCAGGACGAGGGGGGGAGAGAGGACTGCTCTCGCGCGCCACTGAATCGTCTGGCTCAAGAGCGGTGCGTACGCAAGGGCGCGTCGCGTGCTCTCGCGTTCCCTGGTGGCCTTCTCTCACACAGCGAACGCGCTCGTGAGACTCGTCGTCGCCACGGTTGGATCAGGATCGAAATTCTTCACGCTTCGCGTGTCCCCACCAGCCCATCTCAAAACAGCAACTCTAGCGAAGCATGCCGACAGTCGTGCTTTTCAGGCGTGTTTCCGCCTGCCCCCGCATATCTCCCCTGTTCCTCCTTCCTCCCGCCTCCTTGTACATCCTCCTTGTGGTGGGAGCTGGAGAAGGACGAGGCGGAGGAGGAGGGAGAGAAAGCGCTCCTCGTGGTTTGAGTCGTTTGGGGTTTCTCGTCCTGGTGTGAGTCGTTCGGGCCCTTCTTCCTGGTGTGAGTCGTTCGGGCTCTTCGTGGTGTGAGTCGTTCGGGCTCTTCGTCCTGGTGTGAGTCGTTCGGGCTTCTCGTGGTGTGAGTTGTTCGGGCCCCTCGTCCTGGTGTGAGTCGTTCGGGCCCCTCCTCCTGCCCGTCCAGAAACGACGCCCAGGCGAGTAGAGGGTCGTCCTGATGGGCTTTTCGGCGTCTTGGGTGCCTCGGGGGGGCCTCTTTGGGCCGTTTGGGATCCTCTTGGGGGCCTCCTGGGGGCCTCTTGGGGCCATCTTGGGGCCTCTTGGTGCCTCCTGGGCGCTTCTTGGGGCCATCTTGGAGGAAATCGATCAAAGAAGAGGGGAGCTTTAATTAGCGCTGCCCCCTCAGAAGGCCAAAATGGGGCCAAAACCTTAGTAAAATCAATGATTTTGGCTTGAAAGAAGAGGGGAGCTTTAATTAGCGCTGCCCCCTCAGAAGGCCAAAATGGGGCCAAAACCGTAGTAAAATCAATGATTTTGGCTTCAAAGAAGAGGGGAACACTTTTCTCCCCCCCCCCGTCGGGGCCAGAATCCTCGTGAGGGGTGTCGTTTTTTAGCCCTCCCAGGAGTCGAAAAAGACCCCGCCGGCCACCCGCGGAGGGACCTCTCCAGGCCCAGGGGGAGGGGGGAGGGGGAGGGGTAAACCCCTCCCCGAAGGGGAAGAAGGGGGGTTGAGAACAGAGAGAGCTCCCTAAACCACTCACGCCCAAAGGGCTGGTGGGATTCTGGTCTCGCGGAAGTCGGCCGTCCGTCACAGGCGCGTTGAGGACATCCAGGTATTTGAAGGGGAGTTCGGCGTTCAGGCTGTTTCTCCCCCACACGCAGGCTGTCGGCCGAAGCGGCCGGGTGATCCGCCGCGTGTGCTTTCTGGCGCCTGGAGTGTGGCTCTCTCTCCGAGCTCCGTCTCTTGACGCGTGTTGGCTGCGCAGAACGCGGTCGACTTCGCAGCCGAACTCAGCCCGAGTATCTCAGGAGCGTCCATCGTCATGGGCGCCGAACAGCAGACGGCGCATGGGCCGCCTGAGGCGGGGGACGCCGACACGTCGTGCCACCGAGTGCCGCGCCAGCCGTCCTCGACGCGCCCTGGAGACCTCGCGAGAGGGCCGCGGCGGCAGGGCAATCCGCTGCTGTCGTTGCTGGGCGCCGACTGGAGTCGGGTGAAAAGCAGGGTTTCAACCCCTCCTCGATTGCCCTTGAAGGGCCCGCAGCGGCAAAGATACCGTCTGAGGAAGAGCAGGGATGACCTATCCTTTGGATCAGGCCTGATAAAAGGGGCCAACGCAAAGAAGTGGCCGTCAGCGCGGCTGCGGGGTAGCAGCACCAGCTCACTCCACCCGCGCGCGAACCAAGGACGATCAAAGCCGCTCAACCGATTGCAGAGCTGCAGGGCATGCGCGCGCAATTCCAGTGGCAGCTAGAACAACGTAGACAGGCTTTTCTCGAGCAGCAGCGACAACTCGCTCCCGACGAGCAACAGAGAGCGTTCGAACGACAACGGGAGGACAGCCTCCGAACATTCCTTTCCACTTTTGGAGTGCGCGGAAATCGCAGATGAGCGATCCCAAGCTCGTCTCAACCAAGGGGTACATGCCGAGGCACGCGCTATCCCAGGATAGCTGACAGCCAGCAGCGCCCATGCTGGGGAGGAAGACCAGCGCGCCCACGCCGTCTCAAATTGTCACCTGGCTGAAACATTGCAGCAGGAGAGTCTTTGCTTTCAACCAGTTACCGATGAGCAGAAGCGACTACGGTAGGTTTGCGTCGTGTCGACCAGCGGCGACCCCAGCGTGGGCGTTCAAGGTTGAACGCCGCTGGCGACCCAGAATCGATCGACGTTGAACGATCGGACGTTGCGGCAGCGGCCAATCGTTCAAGGTTGAACGATCCCTGCGGTGTCAAAAACCAACGCTGGGGTCGGCACGACACGAACCTGCCGTAGCCAGGGTAAGCCCAACACTGCAGTCTTAACGAGCTCCAGTTCAAGTCGAGATGTCCGCCCTGCTGTAAACAGCCGCGCCAGGAAGTCGTAAGGGATCCTGCAGAAGTCCGAGGGAAAAGAACTCGTCAGTTTTCCTGTGAGAGCCCGAGGATCCCCGGGACCCCGAAGAATTCAGAGGAACCCCGAGGGGATATGAGGGATCCTTCAGACTCGCAGCACATCTGGGGGAATCCTGTAATAGTTGTGAGGACCTCTGAAAGCAGAGCGTGAGAATCACGTATTGCCGTCGCAGAAGTAGTAGTAGTAGTAGTAGTAGTAGTAGTAGTAGTAGTAGTAGTAGTAGTAGTAGTAGTAGTAGTAGTGGTGGTAGTGGTAGTGGTGGTAGTGGTAGTGGTAGTGGTAGTGGTAGTGGTAGTGGTAGTGGTAGTGGTAGTGGTAGTGGTAGTGGTAGTGGTAGTGGTAGTGTAGTGGTAGTGGTAGTGGTAGTGGTAGTGGTAGTGTAGTAGTAGTAGTAGTAGTAGTAGTAGTAGTAGTAGTAGTAGTGGTAGTGGTAGTAGTGGTAGTGGTAGTAGTAGTAGTAGTAATAGTAGTAGTAGTAGTAGTAGTAGTAGTAGTAGTAGTAGCTATAGTAGTAGTAGTAGTAGTAGTAGTAGTAGT